CACTTCACCCAGCTGTCCCTTGATGTGCGATATGGTCGAGGCTGCGGCAAAGGCCACTCACCCAAGTCGAGGCATTTCAAGGGCTCACTTCAACCCCCCACCCCCCCCCGTGCTGCTGACACTTTTATATTGCCTCTATATACGAAACCCTCACCTATTTACGCACACTGTTTCAGACCAATTCGATGCCACATGAATTGCCCCCTGAAGTCACGTAAAAGCAGCGGTCGCCCTCTCTCCCACGAACACACACATGCTCTCTCAAAACTGGTTTCGCCCTGCGTGGCGGTGTGGAACGTGCGTTATTCCAGAGTCAGACGATTTGGCTGACTAACATTGTTCTTGACTGGGCCTATCTATTGTTGAGGTTTGTACTTCTTTTACCCTTTACTATTTGTTTAATACTACCGTACTAAATTGATAATTGTTATCGTGGATGTTTGACGTACGCGCTACTGCTGTATACAGAGTCGAAACATACAACATGCAGTTATGTCATACTATTTAATAAATTTCAGGTTCAGCCGGAGGAGCAAGGGGTGCAGCATGTATGCGTGTTTGCGTTGACAGTTAAAAGACATTACAAAACCTGAAAACTCACAAACGGCCATTCGTTGTCCCTGCACTCCACGTTCATCGGCGGCCGAAACAGCATCATCGAAGCCCTCACATCGTTGAGTCCCGGTAGAGGTGCCGAAGTGCCCTTTCATGGGTCGATTTTTGAGTTGGTTCATTGAGATAAGCCTATCACGGGCCGCGTCCGCGGACAGGGCACCTTCAACCGACTCGGATTCTTTCAGGGGTGGAAAGGCAACGTTTTATGTTCGGGAACCCGAGATCGCCTTATCTTCTCATTTATGTCCGAATACGCGCATTTTCGCTTTTATTAGAAATATATATATATATAGGCAGAAGTACATTAACAGCAAATACATGGGACACTAGGAAGGCCTTTTCCGCCTCATAAGGCGTCATCGGCTAGTGATATCCGACCCCAGTTTGCCCGCTGAAATTGCTGCCACACCGTGATGTATATATATATATATATATATATATATATATATGCATATATGCTTTAGGCAAAAATACATTACCGACAAAGCCAACAAAGACTGAGATGGCCGTTTCTGGATGAAGAGACCTCATCAGTCAGCTATACCCAATTGCATGCTGTGCACTACCCGAGGCTTAAACCTGCGTCCTGCTTACTATAAATCCATTGCTTTAACCATTATGCCGCGATTTCATCGGTAATTTTCTCCTCTTTATAATACTAGCTGATATGCGGTTGATTGCGTGTCTCGTGTGTGAGTCTCAAGGCCTAACGGGAAGATCGGGTCCCGTAGCCCATCTTTGCGCGTCCATCTCAAAGTAGTGGGTGAACTCTGATCGCTACAATCATCAGGTAGAATGCCAGGTTGGAAGTTAAAAGACA